TGTGCAACTGTAATAATAATACATATTTGGGGGTTAAGTGATATTTCTGTAGACTAAAAAAATATAATTAAACAAGCATTTCAAATGCATTAAAAAATATAAATGTATATACAGTGTTGTGTATACACACAGGAGAACCTCCAACTTGTAAACTTTTTGCAATCATGTTAAAATAAATAACATTTTCACAACTGTTGCTATACAGCATAAACATGCGTTAAACATAATCATCCTCTGCACTACTGTCTTCTATAAAAAAAAATTTTAAGTTGAAACACGGAGAATGTAACTCATTATTAGTTGGAATCATAATGAAGGTATATGTTGTGCTTTATAGCCAGGAAAAATCAAATAAGCCAAATTTTCTTAAAAATATTCTTTTCAGAATATTTTTTCCTATGAATTAATAAATACACTGTAATGAAACAACATGATATACAAGCTTTTAATTTTGCATGAACAATAACTTAGCAACCTAACCTTGATAATATCAGCATAATCTATCAAAGATCATCCTAAATTTATTCAGTCCTTATTTAATATCAAATAAAATTGATTAATTTCCAATAAAAACAAAATATCTAAGAAAATTACTGATATGTCTACACAGGGTAAAAGTTTTAGGTGCCATCAATAGAAAATAAATAGAAAATAACAAGTATGAGCATGATCTTGCTGTGGTGGCACTGTCAAGTGAGTATGCTATTCTCTACATTACTTATACATAGAGTTGAGCTTTCATAAGATAACTAACCATTTAGGCATTCCTAACAGCTAAACAAATTTCTTAATATTTTTAAATATTGTATTTAAGAAAGCACTTTCTTTGTCCAATGAAAATTCTGGAAGCATATTTTTTGCATAGCTATGGAAAATCCTCTAGTCCCTACCATGTTAAATATTTACATGAAATTTTTCTAAATTAAATTACCTCTACAAATTTTCCCAGCACTACTTGAGGCCAGTGTGAGGAATTAGACGATCCTTCCACTTCATTAATGTCAAGTTCTCGTTCTTATGAACAGTTGATTGGCTCATTTGAAATATGTACATATTGTGGCCATACAGCATGAGTTCATATTCCACACTGCCCCTTATTCACAATTTGCAATTTCAAACTTTAGTAGCATATGTACAGTAATTTTTAAATGTAAAAACAAAAAATACAGCAAGGGCTGGAAATCCCAGAGCAATCACCTTCCCTCGCACAATACCCTCTCATGATTCCTAACAGTGAGGTATAGGTTCCTGGGGCTCTTGTGAATTTTGAAGTAGCAAAAAATACAAAACTTTGCATAACCAAATCATTGAAATTTTTCCTGTTATATATTGTGCATATACTGTGCATTAATTTTTTTTAAATATCCTATATTTTTTTGCCTCATCTCTTTAAATATTACTGTACTCTGGTTAATATTAGCAGTGATAAGAAATATTTTTTTTTTTATTAACACATCAGCCTTCTTCCACCAAGGCAGGGTGGCCCATAAAAGAAAAACTATCATCATCATTCAATCCATCACTGTCTTGCCAGAGGCATGCTTGCCTACACTACAGTTATAAAACTGCAACATTGACACCCCTCCTTCAGAGGGCAGACACTGTACTTGCCATCTCCAGAACTCACATCTGGCTTGCCAGTTTCCCTGACTCCTTTCATAAACGTTACCTTGCTCAAACTCCAACAGCATGCCAAGTCCTAAAATCCATTTGTTGCCACTTGATCCTATCTAACATGCTTATGCATGCTTGCTGGAAGTCAAAGCCCCTCACACACAAAACCTCCTTTACTCCCTCCCTCCAACCTTCCCGAGGCCAACCCCTACTCTGCCTTCCTCTTGAAGTCATTCTATTTTGTTCCATCTTCTCTACATGTCCGAACCACCTCAACAACCCCTCCTCAGCCCTCTGGATAAGTTTTGGTAATCCTGCACCAACTCCTAATTTCCAAACTATGAATTCTCTGCATTATATTCACACCACACATTGCCCTCAGACATGACATCTCCACTGCCTCCAGCCTTCTCTTCATTGCAACATTCACCACCCATGTTTTGCACCCATATAAGAGTATTGGTATAACTATGCTCTCATACATTCCCCTCTTTGCTTCCATGGACAAAGTTCTTTGTCTCCACAGACTCCTAAGTGCATCACTCACCTTTTTTCCCCTCATCAATTCTACAATTCACCTCATCTTTCATAGACTCGTCTGTTGACACGTCCACTACTAAATATCTGAATACATTCACCTCTTCCAAACTCTCTCCCTCCAATCTGATATCCAATCTTTCGTCACCTAATTTTTTTATCCTCATCACCTTACTCTTTCCTATATTCACTTTTAATTTTCTTCTTTTCCATACCCTACCAAATTCATCCACAAACCTCTGCAATTTCTCTCCAGAATCTCCCAAAAGCACAGTGTCATAGAGCAACTGTGATAACTCCCACTTTGTATCAGATTCTTTATTTTTTAACTCCACACCTCTTATAAACACCCGAGCATTTCATAATGAATATGTACCAGAAAAATTTGAACATCATATGCGTGCCAAAATATTTATCAACAAAAAAATTATGCTGGGAAAAATGGACAAAATATAATTGTAACCAAAGGCCATAAGAAGAAAATGACTGTATTCCTTTAAGAACCATTCATATTCATTTTCATAAGAATAGTGAGATATACAGCAGAGACACTTTTTATAAAACTCATGGCAAGTTTGACTCTTCTCTTTTTTTGCCATATTTTTTTGAATATTGCTCAAATCTAAGCAATAATGACATTCATAAGAAAGAATGTCTACAAGGAAGAGAGATTTGAGCGTGGAAATTCCATGCTCAAAGCCGAGCACATTTTAAACGCAATCGTACAATTGCTTTTCAATTAAGGTCTCTTGCACCAAGCCAAAAGAAAATGGGCACAGAACAAACTGTATAAAATCTCGGGAATCATTAGCTCATGAATTCTGGAGCTCAACTGTATGCTATGAAGCATGCTGTACATTTTATCCCAATCAATATGTGTTACAAAAGAGAATCAGGCAAAAAGGAGTGCAGTGGTGCAAAGACACTGAAGTGAATATTTCTCAGCATCTTGATAATAATTAAAAACTTGGTGATCAAGAAAACTTCTTGGTCTGGTTAAATCCACAGTATTTATAAACTATCTTGTGCAAACATGAGATAACTGCTATTTCTTGTAAATTCTACAACTTTTATTAAGGTAAGACACATAGGCAACAGTTAGTCAACTTTATTCCGAAACGTTTCACCTACACAGTAGGCTTCTTCAGTCGAATACAGAAAGTAGGCCTACTTTCTGCATTCGACTGAAGAAGCCTACTGCGTAGGCAAAACGTTTCGGAATAAAGTTGCCTAACTGTTGCCTATGTGTCTTACCTACCAACCTGTCGGTATTGTATACCATTTTGATGTTCAACTTTTATTAACCAGATCCTTAGTTACATACTCTTGTGCAAACATGAGATAACGTATATTTCTTGTAAATTCTACAACTTTTATTAACCAGATCCTTAGTTACATACTCAAAACTAATAAACATAGCCTGGTCATAGACTGGGCCATGGGGGCTTTGATCACTGTTATATCCTCCAGGCAGTCAATACTGATTATATATTTGATGAATTCCTACACTAGTAAATATGAACAACTAGAAGCAAAAAATATATAACTATCATTTAAATAAGTATGCCTAGATATGAAGCAATAAGCATATATTACAGAGCAAAAAAAAAAAAATACCCATACAATCTTTAATGCTTGGCCTTATTTCAAGCAATGCTTAACAAATTCTGGCAGCAAAACTCATATTTTAGAGTGATTTTTACATGAAACTTTCCAAATTTTATTTTGGATGGATGCTGTGGGTAAAACAGGTTTTGCAATAGAATTTTTTTTCTTAATGGCTAATCACAGCATTACTTTTAAGATACTTACTGTATTATTCTATAAATAGCACAATACAGCAGACCAACCCATTCTCCTAAATCCAATTTCTTACATACTGTTCTCAGTAAATTTATCAATTTATGTTAAGTTTGGTTTGATTGGACTGTTGTCTATAAGTAAAAATTAACACTGTCATCTATGATTAAAAATTAATGGATTATAACATACCACAATACCAATAAATGTAATACAGTATTACATAGAGGCTATAAAAAAATTTTGAGGCAAAAACAAAAGCTGGAGCCCATGAAGTAGACTCTACAATACAGTCAGATAATCACTGCTCAAAACTCATGTAACAGTCACCCATTTGACTGTTTTAGCCACAGTGAAATACTGACTTTAGTAAGGAGGATGGGCTAGTGTGTTAGGCAGGAAAGAGGGATGGCTGGACTACATATTCCTAGACTGTAAGAAGACTTCTGATACAGTACAACACAGAAGGAAATCAAAAACAATTACACAACAGCAGACCATAGAATTGTGTAACTATCTAACTTAATCATGATACATTATATCTGTACCCATAGCAAAAAAAAAAAAAAAAAAAAAAAAAAAAAAAGAGCAAATTTAAATAAAAATCAATGCTGTAAATACAAAATAATATACAGACTAATCTATAATACATGTTGAAAGCATAGTTTGTTAACCTACTCTGAAGTTGAATGCTAAAAAGAGAGATTTATTTTTATGTATGTAAATAATTAATAGCCTTTAATTATGGTGAAGGTTTAGTTTAGGGGCTCTGGCTTTATTTTAAATGCAGCAATAGTCTAGTAAAACTTTTTTTCAATAATGGTGAATTTAATAAAATTTCATAAAAAAATATTATTCATGGATAAAACAGATACTACTGAATTTGATACTATTATAATCATCTTTTTGACCGCTGTTCCTTTTTTTATTACAAGTTAATCAAGGAGTTGTTTAGCTTGAAGCAAATATACCCTTGCACAAAGTGCTAAACCTTACCAAACCTACCAAGCCACACCTAACCTATCTTACAATGGAGAAATTGTTCTTACCTTATTAAAGAAGGTTGGGCTTCAGCACTGTTTTCAGGAAATGAAAACAATCTTATTTACTGGAATGTGTTTTCCTAAACACACTTTCCATTAAATATCAAACTAAATGAAATTGATTTTTATCACAATATGGAAGTGACTTATAAAAAATTCACAATAAACTACATTAATTAACAAAGGCAATCAAAACACTCTGAGAACTTTTATTTTATGAATCTACCAGACTAGTATAGCAAGGTGGCAGTTCACCTGCTCATTCAAAAATATTAAATAATTTCTTTGTGAGCTAAGCAGCAAAATTTAAGCCTTTACAAAAATCTATCTATAAGGATTATAAAAAAAAAGAGTTAAAATTCTTCTAGATTAAATCTGTGTTTAAACAGTAAGCATGAACCCCTAAAGTAGACCTTTACCTAAATTACTGAACACTATATATCAATTTCAAGAATATTTTTCACTACTTGGCTTCTACTCCAAACACCAATCTCGACTCCCAACTATTCTGACAGACTATAAAAGCAGTATTGTATACTGTATACATAGTTACACTACACACCTGGCTGTGTCCTGAGTGCGCGGGGAACGTCTGCGCTGGATGCCTTCGTCTGCCACATCCTGGTAATAAACTTCAGATACATCTGCTGATCTGGTCTTGCTGGACCGCACAACACGACTTGCTGATGATCCTCGAGGTTTGTATGCAGCATCACTTTCAGCACGAATACGTGGTTCCCCTTCGTATGATCCTGAAATATTATTTTATATACACACACATCTGTGACTTACTGTATTTAATGTTAATAAAAACAGCAAAAACTTTGACCAAAAGTTTTCAGTAACTTCTGTAAGGCTACAGATGATATCATACAATGTTAGGTATTGTGTTTAATGAAAGGAAGATTAGTGGTTTTGATAATGAAAAATAATTTTATAATATTTGTTACAGGGAGGGGCAAACTTGGTTTTGAGTGCTAGGGTCTTGAACATCCAGCAGGGTTCTGTGAGTATGTTAGATTCAAGTGGTCAGATGAAAATGGCTTTGATGTGCTGTTGGAGTGTGAGCAAAGTAATACTTATGAAGGAATTCAGGGAAACAGGTTAGCTGGACATGTGTCCAGGACGTGGAAAGTATAGCACCTGCATTCTTGAGGGACGGGTGGGAATGTTGCAGTTTGATGGGCCATTTAAACATGTGAGTGTAATTTTGTAAGATGGTGATTTAACGAATGATGTCGAATATGTTTCCTCACTTTTGAGTCACCCTACCTCAGTAAAGGATGGCCAATATTAAAAAATTATCTTATTTATTTTTGGTCTATAAAATTTTCATCACCTGCTTCAGTTAGCATAGTCTAAAAAGAAATTAAGTTTTGTCAACTTGAACTTAATAGCATAAGACTTAGAGGCTTCTATGACAAAAATGACTATATATCCACACAAGAAAATAGGTACACCTTGCTACTTCTACTTACACTTAGGCACATTATTATTATAATCAAAAAGAAGTGCTAAGCCACAAGGGCTATACAGCGCTGCACACTTAGGCACAATACATATACATGTATATGTATACACACTGACCTGAAATTTCTCTTATTTTTCTAAACAGTTCTTTTTATTTCCTTTTATCTCCATGAGGAAGCGGAAAAGAATCTTTTTGCTGTAAACCATTCGTGTTGTAAGAGGTGACTAGAATACTGGGAACAATGGACTAGTAACCCCCTTCTCCTGTATAAATTACTCAAAATAAAATGAATCATTTATGAAGGGATTCAGGAAAACCGGCAAGCCAGACTTGAGTCCTGGAGGTGGGAAGTACAGTGCCTGCACTCTGAAGGAGGGGTGTTAATGCTGCAGTTTTTAAACTGTAGTGTAGGTGTGCCTCTGGCAACAGTGATGGAGTGAATGATGATTAAAGTGTTCCTTCTTTTCAAAGAATTTTTCTGTTCAGATTTTGTAAAAAAAAAAAAAAGCCTCACATTTCACTAATAGTATAAGAACATCCTATTACTATCTTGCTCAGTTTGTCCTCTTCCACCTTCAAGTTTCTATATGCATTTTTCTTTATCAGCCCCATGTTTGTCTTGATACCCCCAGGTCAGTCTTTAACCATGATCTGTACAGAATAGTGTTCTGTGTGTTTGTTCTTTAATTATGTGAAAATTGGGGACCAAAATTTGTACTTGTACAGTCAATAAATGGAAATAAGTCACTCTGTCTGACTTTTTTGGGTTATCCTAGGTTCTCTACACACATGCTGCTATGTATGATAATTCTATGTAACTGTATTTGTGTATACCTGAATAAACTTACTTACTTACCCTATTATGAGAATTTGTATTAGGTCATCATATTACTCTGGACTGGAATAAGAAAAATGCTTCCTATGTGTTATTACACTAATGGAGAAACCCATCAGGTTTCTTGTTACCTCCCATTGGGAGGTAATCAGAACCAAGGAAAGGATAGCCATAATTCCCTGGATCAAAAGCGTACACCAGTATCATGGCTCTCTCTCTCACTTCCTTGAATGGTACTTTCTATGTAAATACACTCTGGGACAAGTAATTCAAAACTGATTCTTTCCCATCCCTCATCAATAGCATTCAGTGATGGTTCAGCCACTTCTCTTGAAAACACACAAAAGTTGTCCTTTGTTAGTTACCTGAACATGTGAGAGCTCAAGGAAATTAATTCGTGGATGTTTTGCAGTTCAGCATCTTTTCTTCATCTCTGGCAGATTCATATGAAATCACTGGCACATTGTTACTGATCCACATTTATGACTATCAAACTTTTTTTCCATCAAACTAATATTAAAACTCTTGGCTATCCTATCTCCATTGGCAAGTTGTAAGAAATGGTACTCACGCACCTACACATTACCACACTTGACTCTCGCGTGACTATCTTATAGACCTGCATAGTATCACTGCAAAGATTGCCAGGGTACCCAGGCTCTTCTGCATATTCTCACAGATCACCTCGTTCACAGAGCATGCCAGCTTCATAGAAGCCTTTGCCAATCCAAGCTGTGCTGTGAATACACACTTCTAATTGACACTGATTATCTTTCTTAATTGTTGTCGCTACTCTTTGAAGCTTTTTTTTTTAAATTAGTATATTTAAATTGTCCTACGTAGTGGATTGGTAGACAGCAACCACCCAGGGAGGTACTACTGTCCTGCCAAGTGAGTGTAAAACGAAAGCCTGTAATTGTTTTGCATGATGGTAAGACTGCTGGTGTCTCTTTTCTGTCTCATAAACATGCAAGATTTCAGGTACGTCTTGCTACTTCTACTTACACTTAGGTCACACTAAACATACGCGTACAAGCATATATATATACACACCCCTCTGGGTTTTCTTCCTAGTTCTTGTTTATTTCCTCTTATCTCCATGGGAAAGTGGAACAGAATTCTTCCTCCGTAAGCCATGCCTGTCATAAGAGGCGACTAAAATGCCAATGGCAAAGGGCTAGTAACCCCTTCTGTAAACATTACTAAAGTTAAAAAGAGAAACTTTTTTCTTTTTGGGTTACCCTGCTTCAGTGGGATACAGCTGGTTTGTTGAAATAATGATGATGATTTTAATTGTAATCTACTCAGTCCTGTTGGTATCCACCTTTAAGTCATACTTTTCAACAAAAGTTATCTATAATAGAATAAGGTACTTTCACTAAGTTGGTAAAATTGGAAATAAAGTATATATTATCATTATCATTAAGGATTTATTACTATTTTCTTCTAGCAAATACTAGGGCTTGTAATGATCGTGTGTCTTCTCTCAGACTTGCTTGTACTGTGTAATAATGCATAAGAAACATCATGATGATGAGAAAATTAGATGACCTGTGGTTTTTCTATTCCAGCCCCATTGTCTTTTCGGCCTAATTCTTTGTTAAATAAAATTTCCAATTGCAAAAGTTGTCTTTTTCCCAGCTCCAGTTATTTGTCTTTTATGTCACATAGTTTCTCATTTAACTTGCTAGAGTCCTCTGATACCTGTTATTAAACAGTGAATTGTATGCATTTGCCTTGAGTTCATCTTAATTTTGGGTTAGCATCACTAAGATTTCAACAGTGCAAGACTGTAATACTAATTAATTTTTATTTGTGATTCTGTAGCTTGTAGTTGATCTTTTATCAATATTACTGCTCCATCAGTCTTTTAAAGTCTCTTCTATATTGCAGTCCATCCTTACATGAAACATCAACAACATCCACATTTTAATGTGGATGTTTTTTCACAATGATCCTAGATGTGTTGCAAGCATTTTTAAGACTGCTTACTGGAGGGTAAATATTATTTTATTATCACACTGGCCGATTCCCACCAAGGCAGGGTGGCCCGAAAAAGAAAAACTTTCACCATCATTCACTCCATCACTGTCTTGCCAGAAGGGTGCTTTATATAATCAACTCTATCCTATCCTTTACAAATTTATGTAAACTGGAAATATTCCAAGATCAATATACTCGGTAAATACAAAAAACTCGGTCTGAAATAAGAATGGATTTCATGAATAGTCTCCAGCAAACTCTACCTCATTTAGTTGATGTTCCTGTAATTTGTTTACAGTTACATCCCATCTTTTTTTTCTATCTTTTTCTGATATTTTATATACTTCATTGGTGTTAATTACTTCATTTTTTAATTCTTTCCTCAGCTGATTCTAGCTCTAACTTTCTTATTTTTGTGTGTAGGGTTTTAATTTCAAGAAACCCTTTGAAGAGTACCTCCTCTTTGCTTTATTGCTACTTCAGGCTCTGGGCAATTTATGACCTACAGTGTATTTTTTTTTTAAATGTCAGCCGTCTCCCACCAAGGCAGAGTGACCAAAAAAAGAAAAACCCAAAAAAGAAAAAACCTTCATCATTCAACACTTTCACCATCACTCTACATAATCACTGTCTTTGCAAAGGCACTCAGAAATGACAGCTTAGACGTCCCTCCAAACTGTCAATATCCCAACCCCCTCGTTTAAAGTGCAGGCATTGTACTTCCCATTTCCAGTCTGGCTACCCGGTTTCCTGGAATCCCTTCGCAAAATATTACCTTGCTCACACTCCAACAACTCGTCAGGTCTCCAAAAGCATTAGCCTCCATTCACTCCTATCTAACACAGTGCAGTTATTAGTAATATAATCGTGGAAGAGCCCTACACCTGCTGAGGGTCATAAAATGCCTGGGAAACTGGGCACCAGTTTGGATGCATTCCTTTGAACTTTCTAGTTGCAACTTGAGTTTTATAGGGCAATTATATTTAGGGGAAGCACTAAACCCATGGAGGTCATACAGTGCCTGGGAAATGAAAGGAAATCAGGCTTGATTCAAGGTAAGGAAAAACCTAATTCCTTGGATCAAGTTTCTCATCAACATTAAAAACCCCTTCTCGAGGGGTTTATTGGGCGAGACCTCCATACTCCAGGAATAGGTTACACATATTATACTTAAGTGTTTTGAATTCTCTTGACTAAATTTCTAAATGTCATTTGTGTGTTTGTTACTTCAGTAAATGCTGGGGATGTTACAATTGTGTGTACTTCAGAGGATTCATAGATCTTTCGTCCTATAACTTTTTCTTTAACTGATTCTACAACTTGTATGTATGTATCTTGTATGAAGAGATCAAGCTTCAGCTTCTAGGTCCCACTTCTTAATAATTAATTAAACAACGTAATACATTCTCAATCCAAAGTGTTGTCATATACCCTGTACACTTAAATTCGTACAAAGAATCTGC